CCTCACGGCGGCCGGTGTCCAGAGTTTTCGGTCGCAGGCGGCACAGTGTTCATGGCATTTGAGCTCGGGGGCTTGCCCGACCACCACGCTGTTAACACGAATGTGAGCGGCGCTGCGGCGAGAGCCACATTCTGAAAACGCTCCGCCCTCCATGCGTGAAACTTCTGCAACCTGTTAAGTCGAATGTGCGCGACGCTAAGGCGAGAGCCACATCTTTAAAACGGGACGCCCTCCATCCGTTGTGAGGCTGTCGCAAATCTCAAGCTTCAGGATCATACGCTGTGTGGAAGTCTCAGGCGAAACGCCCGGCACGCCTACCGACACGCCTGGGGTTGCGGCAGGGAAGTATACTTGTAAGGAAAAGGGAAGGAGGAGGAGGAGGGGGAGGGGGAGGAGGAGCAGGAGGAGGAGGAGGAGGAGGAGGAGGAGGAGAAGGAGGAGGAGGAGAGGAGGAGGAGGAGGGATGAGGAGGAGGAGAGGAGGTGGAGGAGGAGGAGGAGGAGGAGGAGGAGGAGGAGGAGGAGGAGGAGGAGGAGGAGGAGGAGGAGGAGGAGGAGGAGGAGGAGGAGGGAGGAGGAGAGGGGGAGGAGGAGGAGGGGGAGAGAGAGGAGGAGGAGGAGGAGGAGGAGGAGGAGGAGGAGGAGGAGGAGGAGGAGGAGGAGGAGGAGGAGGCGGAGGAGGCGGAGGAGGAGGAGGCGGAGGAGGAGGAGGACGGGGAGGAGGAATGATCCAAACGGACGCTGGCCGGGGTCGGTCGGCCGCCCCCGGCCAGCGTCCGGTTAGATTGTCGCACGGCCATTTCGTCGCTGCCAGCTGGCTGCCGATCGGTTGCAAAGGTGCTCGACCTGGTGGGTCTGCCTCCCCGCTCCTTTTCCTTTCCTGGTTGCGGTTTGTTTCGCTGCAAGTTTGTTCTATCAATTAGCTTTCTGGCTTTCGCCATGCCCGCCAACAGTGCGGTGCCAGATGTAGTTGAGGTCGCGTCGCTCAGTTTCGAGGGTTTGTGTTATTTCTTTCCCCTCCTTCCTCCTCTTTCCTCGTTCTCCTTCTCCTCCTCCTCCGCCTCTTCCCTTCCCGCACGTAGTGCGACACGCCGGTGTCCACTCGGCAATGTTGCGACCAGGTGATGATTTTTACGTCTGGTTGCTCATTCGCTCTGATTGTGCCACTCCTGTCTCTCCGCCTCCTCCTCCTCCTTTCTTCCTCCTCCCCTCCCCGCCCCTCCGGCCACCTAGCTGCGGCCCGATGCCGGTCCGTTCTCTCTCTTTTTTTTGGGGCGTCGACCCTGTAGGGTAATCCACAGGTGCCGCCGCAGCCTGTCATTTCGCCCGGCGAAAGGTTACTTCAGACCGGCTTTGTCCCCTGGGACGTGCGAGTTTACCTTGCGACTCACGGCGTTTAGGCACGGAATTTGGCTTCCGTGTCTCAGCCGCAGGAGCAGGACAGCCTTGCTACGTGGCCGCGGCTACGCCCGTTTTAGTTTACCTGCACTTGCCAAGGTCTCGCGTGTCGGCTCGCCTATTGCAGGTTGGCCTTCAGGTGATTCCAAGCTTGCCTAGTGCACGTGGTCGGGCACCAGTGGCGTGTTCGCGGAAAAAATAATGCGAATAATGAGAAGACCTGCTAACAGTAATTAAAATACGAAGAAGAATATGACTAATAATAGTACAACGAGGAAGGAGCATAACACGAACACGAGTAGTACTAAAGACAATCAGAAGACGAGTGATATAATATAACTAGTACGAATTTCTAAGATAGCTATCAACAAACTAATACGAGTAATACTACTATTTAGACGAATGTTACGAAGACGAATATCAATACGAATCTGAAGCATAAGAGTGAATTTGCTAAACTTATGCTTATGACGGACGCCAATAACAATACTAAAATCATTATCTCATTCTACTAGTCACAGTACTAATGCGAACAACAGTACTAGTACTAAGCCTATCCATCTTACATTTCATACTTAATATAGTACCCATCGTACGACCAGTAGGAAAAACACTACGAATAATAATGCGAATTCGACGAATGTCAAGAATACGAATACTGCGACTGAGACGAATACTATTTCGACACATCGTAGTAATACGTTTCGTAATGTAATACTGAGAATACGGTGGGGCCACTGATTAAGGAATATGCCCAGGAGGCTTCAGACCCTGAAGGATTCCTTATCTGATGAGAGCAGCGGTGATATCCATAGCCAATCCACGATTCGAGCTCCACCCGCTTCCAGACCCTGGATTCCTTATCCAAGATTTCCTTGTCCAAGTCCGCCGCGATTGATATTGCTATCACTCGTAATAGCAATACAAGTATTCGTAGCAGTCATATCATTATTACAACTAGACTGTATAGGACGAATACTATGACGGACCATACTATAAATGCTATTCAACTTACTAATGAGCGTACAAAGCGATTATCACAAACACTAATACTACCAATGCAGCGAACCATAATAATACTAGACTAACAATCACAATGATACTAATACACATTTTAAGGCGAATGAGGCACAGTCTAACAATCAGAACAAAAAGGATAGGAGGAAGAGTATGAGGAGGAAGATGACGAGTAGCAGGAGGAGGTAGGAGCAGGAGCAGGAGCAGGAGCAGAAGCAGGAGGAGGACCAGGTGGAGGAGGAGGAGGAGGAGGGAGAAGGAGGAGGACGAGGAGGAGGAGGAGGGAGAAGGAGGAGGAGGTGGAGGAGGAGAAAGAGGAGGAGGATGAGGAGGAGAAAGAGGAGGAGGAGGAGGAGGAGGAGGAGGAGGAGGAGGAGGAGGAGGAGGAAGAGGAGGAGGAGGAGGAGGAGGGGGAGGGGGAGGGGGAGGAAGGGGGAGGAGCGGGATGATGATGATGATGATGATGATGATGATGCTGATGATGATGTGATGCTGATGCTGATGCTGATGCTGATGCTGATGCTGATGCTGTGCTGATGCTGATGATGATGATGATGATGATGATGATGCTGATGCTGATGATGATGATAATGAATGATGATGCTGCTGCTGCTGCTGCTGATGATGATGATGATGATGATGATGATGATGATGATGATGTGATGGTGCTGATGATGATGATGATGATGAAGGAGGAGGAGGAGGAGGGGGAGGAGGAGGAAAAGGAGGAGTAGGATGAGGAGGAGGAGGAGGAGGAACAACACATAAGAAGAAGAGGAGGAGGACGAGGAGGATGAGGAGGAGGAGGCGGAGGGGGAGAAGGAGGAAGAGGAGAGCGAGGAGGAGGGTGTAAGGGGAGAGGAGGACCTCCCGTCTCTCTTCCTCCTCCTCCCCCTCGTTGTCCCCCTCCTCCTCCTCGTCCTCCTCCTCGTCCTCCTCCTCCTCCTCCTCCTCGTCTTCTTCCTCCTCCTCCTCCTCCTCCTCCTCCTGCTTCTTCCTCGGCAGCGCTATTTGGTTGCTGGCAGAGATATGCCGGGACTGCACACCCTGTTCTCTTGCTGCTGCCTGCTGTCCCGCCTGAGCCCTCTCCCTTTCTGGTGCCACGAGGTGGGGAAGTAATCGCAGAAGCAGAGGAGGGGAGGAGGAGGAGGAGGATGCGGGGGTTTGTTCGAGCTGGTTCTTATCGCCCCTATTCTGGTGCTGTCTCGCCGCAGTCCCGCTTGCCGCTTTGTCTACGTGCGCTGCCGCATGCCTCTCTTGGCGTTGGACACCGCAGCGCAATCAGCTGGTGGAGGAGGTCTCCAGAGGTCTCCGGAAACGCCTGACAGCCTTCGGGCGGTGTTGGGACCGGGCCAACTTGCTCAAGACCGTTCCAGGTTGCCCTCAGAGCGTTCTGGAGCGCTCTGGAAAGGCCGCGGCGCCCGCTGCATCCTCCAGAGCCGCCCAGATTTCAGAGATCCCCGATCTGGCCGGGTGCGATTTCGTCCTGGCCGGCTTCGTCTTCCTCGGGTGCGGTCAGGAGGGGGGCGGTGACCGGAGGGGGGGATATGCCATGGTCAGGGTCGTGGCCGCTCTCCGCATGCCATGGCCACCTTGTGCTTCTGCCAGCGTGCTCCCCCGGGCCCCCCCCCCCGCCCCTCGTCTGCGCGCCTGCCTCGGGCCGTGGTCTGCGACCCTCCCCCAGCCTGGACGCCCACCTCCTGGACGCCCGCGAAACAAAAAATAATCAAAAAAATAATCATAGTACAAAATATTTTAAAAACAACAAAAATACAGTAAAAAACCTCTTGGACGCCCGCGGCTCGAGCCGCGGCCCTCGATCCTCGAGCCTGCAGGGCCGCAGGAGGGGGGTCTTCGGGCCCTCGCGTCGGGCATCGGGCGGCCGCCGCTGGAAGCGGGGTTCCAGCACCCCCTTTTGGAGCTCGGCTCGGCGGTGCGCGGCTGCCGGAGGGCACTCCGAGGCGAGGAAGGCGTCCGAGAGGCGAGGGGCCACTTCCGAAGCCTTACTTCGCAGGCTTAAGGCGGGCATGTCCCTCTACAGGGGGATTTTCGACGAAAAATAGAAAATACTTCAAAAATACACCAAAAATAATCCAAAAATAGTCGGGGGACTATTTTTTGAGTTTTTGTTTTGACTTTTTTGGGTATTGTTGGGGTATTTTTTATTTTGCATCGAAAATCCCCCCGTAGGGGGACAGGCCGGACATAATCGTAGGCTTCAGTCGGGCATGTTCCTCTACGGGAGGAGTACCCGAGAGTGGTACAACTCGTCAGGGAGCGATTTTTCGTTCTTTGACTCTGTTTGATCATGTCCGTTGACGTTTTTGAGTGAATCGCTTCGCTCATTCCGCCGGCCCGCATCGTCGCGCCGCTGTCGGCTGGCCGCGTGATCGTTGGCAGCGTGGAGCTGCGGGAACGGGGGCTGATTTTCTGAGTCGTTGCGTTCGGAATGACGGATGCTTGGGCCAAAGCAGTCCTCGTGGAGCAGCTTCAGGGCGATTCGTTTTTTTTTTTTTTTTTTGGTTCACAGAGTTTCTAGGTGTTCGCCGTTTTTTGGGGGGCTTCTGGGGCCTTTGCGGGGGCGTGTTGCCCGTGGGCGCTCACCTTGGGGCCGTTCGAGTCGGGGGGAGGCCTCTTGGGGACCCTCGGGAGGCCTGTCGGGGGCCGCTCGGCAGCGCTTTTGGGGGCCTCTTGGGGCCTCATAAAAGGGGGCTTCTCGGGGGCCTCTTGGGAGCCTCTGGGGCCCGCTCGGGGGCCTCTTGGGGGCATGTTGGGGGCCTCTTAGGGGTATCTTGGAGGCCTCTGGGGCTGTCCTGGGGCCCTCCGGGGCCGTTGTGGGGCGCTCCTGGGGGCGTTTCGTGCCGTGTTGGGGCGATCTTGGGGGCCCCTGGGGCCGTCGTGGATCGCTGGTAAGCCGAAAAGGCGAGAACGCCCAAAACCGTCAAGCGCCATTGGCGAATCATTTATTTTTCCCTCTTGGGGGCCTCTGGAGGCGTCTTGGAGGCGTTTGGGGCCGCCTGGAGGCTATCTTGGGCATCTCGGAACGACGTCCGGGGACTCGGAGCCCTCTCGGCCCGTCTTGGGGGCTTCTTGGGGCCCTCTTGGCGCGCTCCTGGACCGCTCCGGGGGAGTTGCGCGGGCTGCCGTTTTTTTTTGGGGGGGGGGGGGAGGATTTTTTCCCGAGAGCCCGCCTGTAGTAGGACATGCCCGACCTAATCTGAGGCAAGCTATACAGTCGGGGCGCTGAACAAGGAACCCTTCTCGTTGGGGAGGAGCTCCGTGTTCCTTAGCTGTGTCACAGTTTGCCTCAGGTTTTCCGGAGGTTCTCCATGGGAAATCGAAGTTTAACATATTGGGAAAAAGGGGCCTCGTTCCTTGTTCAGGGTTCCTTAGGTCGACGCCCCAGCGATAGCGCCTCGCGGGCCCGAAGCGTCAGACAGCCTGGGCTTGGCAGGCCTGGGCAGCAGAGTGCAACGAGCCTGCCCTCGGCTTCGGAGGCGCGGGAGGCCAACAGAGACGGCGTGCAGAGCACACCAGGGTTCAGTCGGGCGTTGCCCCTTCTGCAGGAGGAGTATTTGAAAACAGTCTAGAAAAAAACAGTGGACGATTTCTCGAATGTTTTTGTTTGAACATTTTTCTTTCAAGATCCACCTGCACATGCTCGACCTAATACCAGAGTGTCCCCATCCCTGTCCTATTGCCCTTCGCCGACCACGAGCCTGCCGTGGCGAGGAGCAGAAAGCGGTGCCCTCGACGGCATTGACAGCTGCGCCAGAGCGACCACTTCTGAAACTGGTCGCCTTCCTGTGCCGTCCCGACCCCCGAGAAGATTTGGGCCTACCAGCCTGAAACAGATCCCTATCCTTATGCTCTGCAGCGCCTCATCTCGATGCCGATCTCAGGGATTCCTTCGGTTTTCTCAGGGCGTATCCCTGAGACTGTCATGCCCTTCGCCGAGCGCGTTCCACCACCCGCAGAGTGCCTGCTCGCAGACGTCCGAACCGCACACGCTTGCCTCGATGTGCTGGATCGCAGATTCCCCGCGGCGGATCCGGGCCATCTGCGAGCAGCTGCTCCGCGAGGCGAGGAACCCGGCTGTGCGAACGGTGCCCTCCCGGCTAACGTGAAGCCAGTGCTGCCCGCTGCGGCGGCCGTGCGCGCCGACCCGGCACGGCAGGAGGAGGAGGAGGCGGAGGAGGAGGAGGAGGAGGAGGAGGAGGAGGAGGAGGAGGAGGAGGAGGAGGAGGGGGAGGAGGGAGGAGGAGGAGGAGGAGGAGGAGGAGGAGCTCTGCTCTGCGAGTCTGTCTTGGCTTGTCGGTTCCAGGGGGAGGTAGTACGCTCGAGGCTGGTCACGGGCTGCTCTGCGAGGCGCGGGGCGGAGGGCGGCGGCTCCGAGGCGCAGGAGCGGCGCGCGCGCGGGGCAGGTCTGCTGCATGCACGGGGAGCCGCTCGCGCGGGCCGCGGAGCGCCTGCCGCACAACGCGCCCAGGCGGGTGCTCCCTGGCCAGGGCAAGGCCGAGCTCGCTCGTCGTCGCCGGCGTCGTCGTCGTCGACGCCGTCGTCGACGCCGTCGTCGTCGCCGCCGCCGCCGTCGTCGTCCTCGTTGTCGTCGTCGTCGTCGTCGTCGTCGTCGCCGCCGTCCTCGTCGTCGTAGCCGTCGTCGTCGCCGCCGCCGCCGTCGTCGTCCTCGTCGTCGTCGTCGTCGTCGTCGTCGTCGTCGTCGTCGTCGTCGTCGTCTTCGAAGGGCGGACGGGAAGGATGAGGAGGAGGAAGGAGAAGGCGGAGGAGGAGATGGAGCAGTGGGATGGGGGAAGGTGGCCAGGGCGCCAGGGCCGCCAGGGAGGAGGCGGTGGAGGAGGAGGAGGAGGAGGAGGAGGAGGAGGAGGAGGAGGAGGAGGAGGAGGAGGAGGGCGAGGAGGAGGAGGAGGAGGAGGAGGAGGAGGAGGAGGAGGAGGAGGAGGAGGAGGAGGAGCGGCAGGGCAAGGCCGAGCTCGCCGACGAGCTGCCGCAGAGGGCCTCGGACATGCTGCAGAGCGCGCTGCGCGCGATGGAGCCAGCGTGGCGCTGCGAAGTGCACCTGGCTCCGGAGCCGGGGCCAGAGGGATTGGGCGTCCGCTTCGTCCTGCCCCAGTTCTTGCGCTCCGTTCCCCTTCCCGCTGCTGTTCCGCCCCTTTCTCTGGCCCCTCCCCCTCTGTGCCTGCCCCCCCCACCCCTCCTCCCAAATTGTCTCCCCACCTCCTCCTCTTCTTCCTCCTCCTCTTCTTTTCAACGGTGACTGCGGAGCACGCAGCTGTAGAACCACCAACGAAAGGTGGCTGCGAGAGTTTGGGTATCGAGCGGAGAGCCGCGCAGGAAAGAGAACAAAGAAGCTGCGGATCCGAACCCTCCCGCAGCCACATACTGACCCTCCCCCTTCATCGCAGCCTTCAGCGGCAGGGAGGCCTGTCGAGTCAGCACTACGCCCTGCTCCTTCAGCGCGGGCCCCGCACCAGCGTCGCGCAAGCCGCCTGTACGGGTGCTCTAACACGACCTGTGTCACCACGGTAGCCTTGCAGCCTGTCTACCAGGTCGCAGATCGGAGGTCGCGAGCAGCCTCGGACCTGGTCCCCACGAGAGTTTGTCTCCAGGAAGCCTCCGGGCCGAGCTGATCTCAGACAGGTCCCACCTAATATGGCCTCCTGCGTGCTGACTGCAGAAGGATGCACCAAGCAGGCAGACGCCTCACCACGGACGGCCCAAAAAGCTTGAGCGACCCGCGAACCCAGACATTCATATGTTTGTGTGTGTATCCGTGTGTGGCGGCACTTTGGCATGCTGTCCGCTCTTGTATATGTTGATGTGTACATCTAACTCTGGCAAGCGTGGACCCCAAACAGTGTGTGTTCTGGCAATACGTGTTATGCAATCTATGGAGTGCAGTGTCTGTTGTGCACTCTATGTGGTGCAACGTATTTGTGCAAGCCACGTGGTGCAATATATGCGCCTCGATCTATGTTGTGCAAGCTACGTGGTGCAGCCTGAGTGGTGCAACCTATTTGGTGCACTAAATGTTGTGCAAGCTATGTGGTGCAATATGTGTGGTGCAATGTATGTTGTACACTCTATGTGGTGCGATATAGCTTGTGCAACACAGTGGGAACAATATATGTGGTCCAATCTATGTTGGTGAAGCTACATGGTGCAGTCTTTGTGGTGCACTTTACGTGGTGCAATACATGTTGTGCATTCCGTGTGATTCACTCTATGTAGTGGAATCTACATGCTGCAATAAGCATTGTGCACCCTATGTGGTGTAATCTATGTTGTGCAATCCATATGGTGCAAGCTATGCGGTGCAATATATGTTTTGTAAATTATATGTGGTGCAATTAACTTTGTAAACCTTGGAGTTGTCAACTCCACTGCTCGCGCAATCATCCCACGCGCTCACCCGCAAATCGGTTTGCAAAATCCATGCGGCGGCGATTGCGATGAGTGCTTGGTGCTGGCTGGTGCATCTCTGCGGCCGCGCTAGCCCGCGCATGCTCGCCCGCACAGCGGCCAGCTAGTTTGACGCGACCGACGCGACCTCGGTGGCGTTGACAGCTGGGCACTTCCCAGCGCGTCTCGCAGGCCGACGCGCGCGAGTGGCCCGCATAGTATGATTTGACAGGGATTGTGCCCCCCAGCATGGCGCAAGGGTGTGTGAATGATTTCGACATGCGCGCGCAAGAGGCCCGTTTGGTCGAGTTTGGTGAGTCGGTTAAATAACACAGGGGCTTCTTAAATATCCGCAAGAGCGCGCGTCTTGATTCATTTTTTCCAAGCCATCCTGTGGTGTTGGGTCCTCGTTTTGAAGAGACAGCGCCCCGCGTTCCTCTCCTCTGCTCTCCTCTCCTCGCCTCTCCTCTCCTCTCCGCTCCTCTCCTTTCATCTCCTCTGCAGTTTGCACGTGGGCGTCACGCCCGTTTCGGCACACACCCTCACACGTTTGGTGGCCCCATAGGGAGATATCCCGGAGGTCCCAGTGACGCAGTTCGCATGTGGGCGCCACGCCCGTTTCGGCACACCCCTCACACGTTTTGTGGCCTCACAGGGAGCTCCACCGAAGGTCCCAGTGGCGCAGTTCGCACGTGGGCGTCATGCCCGTTTCGGCGCACCCCTCACACGTTCGTGGCCCCGTAGGGAGCTTCACTGGAGCTCCCAGTGGCGCAGTTCGCATGTGGGTGTCACGCCAGTTTCGGCGCACCCCTCACACGTTTCGTGGCCCCGTAGGGAGCTCCACCGAAGGTCTCAGTGGCGCAGTTTGCATGCAGGCGTCACGCCCGTTCCGGCACACCCCTCACACGTTTCGTGGTCCCACTGGGAGCTCAATCGAAGGTCCCAGTGGCGCAGTTCGCATGTGGGCGTCACGCCCGTTTCGGCACACCCCTCACACGTTTCGTCGCCGCGTAGGGAGCTCCACTGAAGGTCCCAGTGGCGCAGTTCGCATGTGGGCGTCACGCCCGTTTTGGCACACCTCTCTCACACGTTCCGTGGCCCCGTTGAAGGTCCCAGTGGCGCAGTTCGCATTTGGGCGTCACGCCCGTTTCGGCACACCTCTCACACGTTCCGCTTCCCTGTAGGGAGCTCCACCGAAGGGTTCACATGCCCCCCCCTGCCAAATCGGCACGCCCCTTACACGTTTTGTGGCCCCTTGGGGAGTCCCACTGAAAACGATCCTCACAACTGCGGCACTCACAATTGCATATGGTTGGGTCCTCCGCCAGGCGACTTGAAAATTGATATTACAAAACCATGAGCTTGTTTTAGTTGCTTTCGGGACACTCGATTCTGAAAGTCTTATGAAGCCCCAGGTCCTTGAATAATTTCGACATGCGCGCGCGCGACGACGCGCCCGTGTGCACTTCGCCCCGTTTTTTCGCAAAGGGATTGTTGACCATTGACGTTTTTTCCAACCATCCTGTGGTGTTGTGTCCTCGTGTTGAAGAGACAGCGCCCCGCGTCACCCCACCCATGCTCCCGCTGCCCCCTCCTTCCGCTCCTCCCACCCCTTGCACCCCTCACACGTTTCGTATCCCCTATCAGGATCTCCACCGAGGGCCCCAGTGGCAGCGCCCGCATGCAGTTCCACCCTCCAGTTTGGCACAACACTCACGCGTTTCGTGGTCCCATCGGGAGCCCTACCCAAGGCCCCAATGGCAGCGCCAGCATGCAGTTGCAACCTCCATTTTGGCACCCCCCTCACGCGTTTCGGGGTCTCACAAAGGAGCCCCACCCAAGGCCCCAGTGGCAGCGCCCGCATGCAGTTCCACCCCCATTTCGGTACACCTCTCACACGCTTCGTGCCACCATGTGGAGCCCCACCGCAGGCCCCAGTTGCAGCGTCCGCATGCAGTTCCACCCTCCATTTCGGCACACCCCTCACACGTTCCGTGGCCCCATAGGGAGCTCCACCGAAGGTCCCAGTGGCCGCGTTCGCATGCAGTCCCACCCCCGTTGTGGTGCACTCCTCGAACGCTTCGGCTCCATAGAGAGCTTCACCGAAGGCCCCAATGGCAGCGCCCGAATGCAGTTCCACCCCCAATTTAGGTGCACCCCCTCACACGTTTCGTGGCCCCATAAGGGGGCTCCACCCAAGGCCCCAGGGACAGCGCCCGCATGCAGTTCCACAATTCAATTTCGGCAACCATTTACACGTTTCGTGGGGCCATAGGAAGCTCCACGTGAGGTCCAAATGGCAGTGCACGCAGTGCGCCGCTCACACGGTTCGTTGACCCATAGTGAGCTCCACCGAAGGTCACAGTGGCAGCGCCCGCAGGCAGTTCCACCCCCATGCCCGTGCACCCGTCACACGTTTCATGGCCCGAGCTCCACTGAGGGTCCCAGTGGCAGCCCCTGCATGCAGTTCCACCTTCCATGTCTGCACACCTCGCACACGCATCGTGGCCCCATAGGCGGCTCCACCGAAGGCTCCAGTGGCAGCGCCCGCATGCAGTTCCACCTCCCATTTCGGCGAATCACTTACACGTTTCGTGGCCCCATGGGGAGTTCCACCGGAGGCCTCATCGGCAGCGCTAGCATGCAGTTTCACCCCCATTTCGTGGCACCACTCACACGTTTCATGGCCTCATGGCGGGCCCCATCGAAGGCTCCAGTGGCAGCGTCCGCACGCGGTTCCGCCTTCCATGTCCATGAGCCCCTCACACGTTTCGTGGGGCCATAGGGAGCTCCACGTGAGGCCCCAGTGACAGCGCCCGCGTGGCGGCCCCGCGGCATTTCGGCACACCCTTAACGCGCTTCGTGGCCCCATAAGAAGATCCACCGACGGCGATATTTACAACGACGGGACCCACAACTGCATATGGGTGGGCCCTTCGGCAGGCTAATTGATACATGAGTGTGCGCGCATAGTACTTCCCAACCATCCTGTGGTGTTGGGTCCTCGGTTTGAAGAGGCAGCGCCCCGCGTTCCTCTCCTCCCTCCTCCTCCCCATCCTCCCTCCCCCTATCCCAGATCCCATCCCTGCCGTTCCCCCCACCCCGTCCCGCATGTCACTGTTTCGGTACACCCCTTACACGTTCTGTGGCCCCATAGGGAGCTCCACCGAAGCCCCCATTGGCAGCGCCCGCATGCAGTTCCACTCCCAGCTGGGTGCACCCGTCACACGTTCCGTGGCCCCATAGGGAGTCCCATCGAAGGCCCCAGGGGCAGCGCCCGCATGCAGTTCTACATTTCAATTTCGGCACACCCCTTACACGTCTCGTGGCCCCATAGGGAGCTCCACCGAAGGCCCCAGCGGCAGCGCCCGCACGCAGTTCCACCCCCGTATCGGCACACCCCTTACGCGTTTTGTGGCACCATAGGGGGCTCCATCGAAGGTCCTAGTGGCAGCTCCCGCATGCAGTTTCACCTCCAAATGGGTGCATCACTCGCACGTTTCGTGGCCCTGTAGAGAGCCCCACCGAAGGTCCCAGTGGCAGCGCTGGCATGCAGTTCCACCCTCCATGTCGGCACACCTCTCACACGCATCGTGGCCCCACAGGGAGCTCGGAGGCCCAAGTGGCAGCGCCCGCATGCAGGTCCACTTTCATGTCGGTGTGCCC